GGCTCTTCCTGATCTGCAGGCAGGGCTCTCTTCACCTCTTCCCTCTACTTATAGTGAGGATTCGGCCTTGGTGGAGGAAGGGGAGTTGATAGATAGGGAGTTCTCTGATGATGGGGGCCTGATCTTTGATCAGCGCAATTCCTCTAGTCTGTTTAAGCCTACGCTGTTCAAGTCCTTATTATTTAAAGCTAAGGCCACTACTCATATGGGAGAGGTTGCTCCCAAAGACAGTTCTGCTGTAGGCCTGGACACTACTGAGCGCCTCTTTGCTGAACCAGTTTCATTGCAGGAAGTGATTCCTTCCCCAAAGCTTTTCATGGATCTCATTCAGAAGCAATGGGACCAGCCAACTGCGGTTACCCCGCCCAGTAATGGGGACAGGAAGCTGTACACTTCCACCCCTGACTTGGAAGGCATTTTGCAATTTCCAACTGTGGATCAGCCAGTAGCAGCCCTAGCTTCCCCTGGCTGATTCCGTCTGAAATCTCTGAAGGTCTGAAGGCTGAAGACCGTAAGGCTGAGACAGTTATTCGTAAGACCCACCAGGCTGCGGCCTGGGTCTTACGTGATGCTACTGCAGCATCGTTCTTTAATAGAACTTCTGTGCTCTGGCTTAAGCAGTTGCAGGAGAGACTGGCCCCTGATGAAGTGCGTCTTCACCAGGATGTTACTAAAATTATGGCTGCTTTAGAGTTTTCAGCGGATGCCACGCTCAATGCTGCCAAGTTTGCTTCTCGTGCTGTGGTGTCCAATGTGGCATCTCGTCGCCTCTTGTGGCTCCGCCATTGGCAGCCGACATTAAGTCTAAATGGCGCCTGGCCTCCACGCCCTTCAAGGGCGGGGCCTTATTTGGATCCGTTCTTGACCCCATACTCATAGAGACCAGGGACAAACGCAAGGTTCTCCCCTCCTTGGGGGTGCGCAATACCAGAAGGCAGCAGCCATATAACAGATACCAGTCCTTTCGGGGAGGCTACTCTGGATACACAGCGGCCCCCTTCATTCCCCATTACAACAGGGGTTTTCACCAGTCGCAGAACAAGGACCAGGACCGTGGCAGGGCAGAGATAGGGGGCGCCAACAGCACCAGACGGATCTCCAACAGGAGATCCTCGTGGCTCGGGGAACCTTTCTGAGGTACCGGTGACTCCCAAGGGGGGGGGAGCCAGTGGGCAGGCATCTTCTGGCCTTCGCTCATCAGTGGGCGGAAACCACGTCCGATGT